CAACTTACTTTCCGCCTGCGGTGGGCGGCCCCGGCCCGGACTCCCAGCCCGGCAACGGCGCAGGCTACCAGGCGGCGGAGGCCGGCCCGCACCGCGGTCCACGGCCGCCGCGCCCGGCCGCGCTCCGCGCTCGCTCCTACCTCAGCCGGCAGGCAAGCGTCCGTCAGCAGCGGCCGCGGCGCCGACGACTCCCTCCCGGCCGCCGAATCCCCGCACCCAGCGCTAATCATAATACCGAGCGGGCGGCCGGCCGCGGGGAGGGGGTGGGGCCGAGCTGCGCCTGCGCGGCACGCGCGTCACTGTGACGCAACGCCGGGGCGGGGCCATGGGAAGGGCGGGGCCGACAGCACCTGCGGGCTCCAGCGCGCGGGCTGCTGGAGGGCATACTGGCGGCGTCTCACCTCAGCGACTCTGGGCTGTGGCTGGCGGTAGGAAGCAGGCGAGGCGCCCGAGAAGAGGGGACGATGCAGGAAGAAGCACCGGGGATATGGGACAATGGCTAAGAAAAGTAGCGTGAGCTGTCGGGGGAAATCGGAGGGAAGGGACAGCGTGCGCCCCTGACTGCGTCCTGAAGCGCGGGGCTAAGGGCAGCACGCACTTTACCCTTTTAAAGGTTCGCCGCATTTCCCGCCCAAGTTTAAGCAAGGGGAGGGAAAAAATTAAATATACATTCATATGTATATATATACGCATATGCATATGTTCTTTTTCTCTACAGTTTTATTTCTTGGGAACCCAATTTGAAAGAATTTTGTTGATTTTGTTGCTATTTAAACAAAAGGAGAAAAGCCCACCATCTGAATGCAGCGCTGGCTTTAAAGGTCTACGGGAGACGCTAGCCGGCCCCATCAGTTAGCTGCCTCCACTGGAAACCGCCTGGAAGGGCAAAAGGTCGTGGAAAGTATTAAAGCATATGAAGTCCGGGATTCAAAACAGCAGACCTTAACCGTGGTTAACTAGATGATTCAGCGGCATGGTCACCAGGCCAACTGGCTCGGGAAGGGAGCTTAACCAAAGCCAGAGAGGGGTGCTGGAGGCGGGGGGAGCGGGGGAACTGACTCCTACCCTTGAAAGCTTGTCTTGCAATGGCTAATCAGCTCTCTGAGGTTCCTAAAAGGGAGAGCCAACAAGCCGGGTGCCAGGTTTCTCCAACCTGCTTTTCCCTTTCTGTTTCTCCTTTCTTTCCACCCTTCCAATAAAAGACACCTAGTGAAGAAGGACACAAGAAAAAGTAAATATACAAATAAAAGCTGCTTAGATGCTCCAAATTTGATTAAATTGATTGGGTGCAGAAGAGAATTCTAGATGGCTTTAGCAAATGTCTTTGTTGACCTGCAAATGTCAGGGTTTTGTTTTTTTTTTTTCAGACTCCACAGCATCAATTTTGCATGTCTGAAGATGATTGAAAAGTAAAAGTGGATTGTGGGGGGCGGTGGCGGTGCAAACCCTCAGGGTGATAACATAAGGTTTTCTATTCAAGGGGGACTCCCAGTTACCCTAATGCTCTAGCATGGGGTGATGGATCATTAGCTGGAGAAAGCCTTAGGTTCTAGGCCTCAGGCTGGGCCTCTACCCTTTAAGGATGAGTCAAAGCCCCAGCTCTGGGATCACTCTGATTTAGGAAGACCATAAAAGAAAAATCTCACTTTGAAGCTGCCATTCTAACTCTAGCCATATGTTAAGCAGTAGCTTCTTTGTAGAATTCGGTCCTTTATTACTGGGAAGTTGGAAGACCATGCACTCTTCCCCTCAGGGAGGTATAACTATTTAGGGAACCCAGTAAAGAGGGAAAAAAATACTACTCTAATGTTCTCCCAAGGGAATTCCAGTGGTTGATAGCCTCTGCCACCAAGGCTTATGGCCCCTGAGATGTAACAGTAACCACAAAACAACGCCATAATAGATAAGCCCTTGGAAAAGAGTATTTATATTGTTGCCATGTGACTCAGGTTTTGACTAAAATCTATAAGGGTAACAAGGACATATGAATAGCAAAACAATAAATGAAAAGGAACAGAATAATAAATTGATTCGAATAACATCAGGGATACAGTTGGTACTGGCCACATGGTGAATCATTTATTCATTCCCCGTGTTTCTTGGGAAGCTAGAGTGCTGCTGGCAAGAACATGACCCATTTTCAGTTCCACACCATAAATGTGGGAACATGATCTGATTATGCTTAGGCAATATTTAAGAATATTCAAGTGCAAATTAATATATTATTACTTAACTTTGAATTTAAGCAAATATGTTTATTGTTAATAAAGAAACCCCTCCTCCGAACTGCCCTGGGGCTTTCTCCAACACAGACTGCTTTTTTAATGTTAAGTCTTTTTATGGACCCATAAGAAGCTTTAATTAGATATACAGCACTCTACAAAACGACAAGATGGAGCATGCAGGTTTGTATTACAGTCTCTGTGATTCAGATCTCAAACATAACATAATGCCACCAATTTAAAGAAGAAGTTGTTTATTGGAAGGCAACCAGGGAGATGCTACGAATTAGATCAAGATGTGAAAAGCAAGCAGATTCTTGAAAGAATTGCAATTTTCATCTTGGGACACCCTCCCCCCACACACATACACACAAAAAGCATTATATTGTCTTCTCCAGATATTGTTAGTTTTCATAATTTGTAAAAAATTTGAAATAAATATATTTAAAGCAATAGATATTGAGTACTCATCTACAGTTCAGTTTCGAGGTGTGACATGGTAAAGATTTTCCTTTAGATATTTAATTAGTCATTTTGTACATTGATACTCGTGCATTTCTAAAGCCTAGCTTCATCCCAGTAGGACCAAAATAATAGTTCATTGGAATGGCCCACAGAGTTCCTGAAAGACTTTCCCTTACCACTCCCTTGGCATCAGTTAGCACGTTTCACTCTTGTATCTCAGATGTCAGTTAAGGCCGACCTGTGTGTGTGTGTGTGTGTGTGTGTAATATATTTTTGATAGTTGCAAACAAAGATTGAAAATGCCAGCCCTTAACTCTGTTTGTTTGCAACCTGTGACCTAGGAGATATGCCTGTCATTGCTTGGCATTGAATCCCAGCCCCATCACTTAATGCTATATGGCTTTGGGCAGGTTGCTTAACTGTTTTCTCATCTATAACACTGGGATGGCAGTGATAATGACACCTTTCTTATAAAGTTGGTATAAAGCCACTGGTAAACTTGCTGTAAAGCAATGGTTCTCAAAGTGTGCTCCTTCGACCAGCATATCAGCTTCTTCCGGGAACTGAATCAAAATGCAAATTCTCAGGCTCCACTCCAGATGTACTAAATCAAAAACTGTGGTGATTCTCATGCAAGTTAGAGTTTGAGAACCACTGTTGATGGGATTAAGTGAGTTTATTTGAAGTATTAAAACAGTGCCTGGGACACAGTAAGTGGTATATTAATGAATATGTTTAAATGAGTACAATATGATATTGCCAAAATTTACAAAGTTTAATTTAGGCCAAAAGAAGCATGCCCATGTTCTCCGACAAACTCCTTCTTAATCCCATATCCAAAAGCTTTAACATGGCCTACCAAACCCTTCATAATGTGGCCCCCACCTTCCTTTCCTGCTTTTTCTATTCTCCATGTGCACCACATCTCCAGCTTTCCCTGTTCTGTTCCCCCTGCCTGGAAATGCCCCTCCCCCACCCCCCCCCCCCATTCTCACCCCCCCACCCCCGCTTCCCACACTTACAATCTCCTGAATTCCTGCTTATGCTTCAGAACCTAACTGCACTGTCCAACCTCCTCTGTGGTGCCCCAGCCCTCACCCAGTCAGAGCCAAAGACTATCTGGACCCATAGCTCACTGCGCAACCCACTTAGAGCACTTATCATTGGCTGTTGTAATTGTTTCCTTTCCCATTTTCTGCCTTTGGCTCTTCAACTCCTAGAAAACAAGGATTTTATTTCATTTAAAATTCTATTCATGCCACTTGGCCCTGACATTTCAAGAGGGCAGCCCAAGGACTTATACTACAGACTTCGGGTATCACTGCAGACTTGGGGTATTTTTTTTTTTCACAAAGATCTTTTAAGAATTTGAACTAGTTGTGAGCATTTTAAAATTGGGAGATTTAATTTTTATGTTTAATCACTTTATTGAGGTCTGATTTGCATATTGTAAAGTTCACCCAGAATACATGGTAATTCAGTGATTTTTAGTAAATTTACAAAGTTGTGCAGCCATCACCTTAATCCACTTTTAAAATATTTCCGTCTCTCCCAAAAAGTCTTCTCATGTGCATATTGCAGTCATTCACACTCCAATTTCAAGTCCTCAGCGACCAATAATTTGTTTTCTATCTCTGTAGGTTTGCCTTTCTAGAAATGTTATATAAATAGAATTATACAATGTGTAGTCTGTGGTGTCAGGCTTTTTTCACTTAGCATAAGATTTATCCATCTTGTAGTTCATGTAGTTGTATCAGTTCATTCCTTTGTATTGCTGAATAGTATTCCATTATATAGATAAACTACACTTTATTTCCACATTTTTGCTATTGTGGATAATGTTGCCATACATAATTATATAAACTCTAAATGGGGACATGTTTTCCTTTTTTTTGGGTATATTTCTGGGTCGAATTATTGGGTCATGTCATAACTCTTTAACATTTTAAGGTAGTGACAAATTATTTTCTAAAGTGACTTACTATTTTATATTCCCATCATCAATATATGAGGGCTCTAGTTTCTCCACATCCTTGGCAACACTTGGCATTATTTGACCTTTAGGTTATCACTATTCTAATAAAAGTGCAGAGGTATCTCACTATGATTTTAATTTGCATTTCTCTGATGACCAACAATGTTGATCATATTTTCATGTGCTTTCTAGTCATTCATATATCTTCTTTCGTGAAAGATCTATTTGAATCTTTTGCCCATTTTTAGTTGGGTTGTTTGTCTTAATGAGTTTTAAGAATTTTTTACATATTTCAGATACAAGCTGTTAATTAGATATATGACTTGCAAATATTTTCTCCCAGGCTGTGGTTTGTCTTCTCATATTTTTAATGATACCTTTAAATGTGCCAAAGTTTTGCATTTTGATGAATTCCAATTATCAAATTTTTCATTTTTATGAATCATGTTTTGGATGTCATATCTAAGAAATTTTTGCCTAAGCCAAAATCAAACTATTTTTCTCCTGTGTTTTTCTTCAAGTTTATAGTTCAATTTGACAATTTAGTCTATAATCCAATTTGAATTAATTGTTATACATGATGTAAAGTGTCTACATGTTTTATCAATTAATTCATTTTTTGCATACAGATAGTCAATTGCC